CTCTTCAAATCAAGGTGGTAAATGATAACAACTAGCTAATAATAACTCTTCAAATCAAGACAGTAAAGGCTAACAACTAGCTAATAATCCTTAAGGGCTAAAGGCTAACAGTCGGCTAATAACTTCAAAAAAGGAGGTAACTTAGGCTAACAGCAAGCTAATAACCCTTAAAAGCAAGCGGGTTAAAGGCTAACAACTAACTAAAAACTCTTCTACAGTATTGCCGAATTTCAATTACACTTTGTTAGTAAAAATAAGAATTGAGGACAGGTTAAGCTCTATCTGAGTGAAAATGGATTGCTTGTATTTGAATAGTGTACAGAGTGCTTAAAATCCCAACGGCGCATTTCTTTTCCAAAATCCAGCTGCGTAGACTTTTTTTAAAATCAGCTTGTAAGAAGAGCTGTCTCTCCGCTGTTTGATATGAAGTCGTGCTCCGTGTCTGTAATATCCATAATAAGAATCCAGTTTCTGCTTATGTATTCCTTGAAGGAGGCAGAGCTCCATAGCAACAAGCTGGAACCTTTTATGGTCCATGTGTGTATTGTGGAGAATAATGAAATCCTGGTTTCTCATAAATGTACCCTGAGAAAAACAAAGATGGGCTTTTTTTATACTGCTTAAATCTGGGGGAGCTTAAAAAATAGACGTGTCCCTGCAAAGAAACTAAATGGCACAGGAAATGCACTGAAAGTTGTTTCATAGTTTGCAGAGAGCTTGTAGATCGTGAGGGCAAACCTGATCTGCAGGGGTTCTTTGTAAACAGAGGGGCATATCAGAGTCCAAGGTCACATCCATGTCATGTCAGAGCTTTAGTCAGCCGTGTAACCAGGAAACGGGAGGCGGAGAGTGAGGGAGTTTTCTGCTGACTCTGAAGAAAACCTCTCCCCCGCCACCGAAGACGCTCATAGTCCTACTTATCCTAATAGAATAATGTCAACACGGAGACGCGGTCAGCAACTTTAATGCCCAAAGTTAGACTGTGGTAGATGATTTCATAACTTCTTCTTTGTAAAACCAGCACATGTTGATGCACATGACTGAAAAGCGCTGACTC